TAATTATTATTACTTTTCATTCAATATTGATATATATATATATTAATATCAATTTGACAATGCAGATATAAAACCATTGCAAAATCATAAGCCGCAGACAGTTGACTTGATTGTGACTAAGCCGTGACTATATTTCAGCAACGACTATGTACTTAGCCATAATTTTATAATTTATAGATATACTGTACATAATGGTAAATTATATTGATGTTAGTTATGCAAGTAGTGAATAGATTAGAGATGATGTTGGTAATGCAAGTAACGAATGGTAATTATGATATACAAGTAATTATAGTGTACATTAAATATATAATGTTCTTTATGTTATTATTACGCGAGTAATGAATGGTATATAATGGTATATTATTAATATTTAATAGTATTATTATTATAATTAGAGATGATGTTGGTAAAGATAATAATAATGCAAACAGTGATTGTAATACAGATATGACGTAATAATGGTAATATGGATGGATATGTATAAATTATAACACATAATAAATTTTTTTATTAAAAAATTTATATTTACTGTATATACAAAGATACTGACTGAATAAACAAAAAAAAATTTTTCATCATCATCACAAAGAAATAATTTTTTTCTTTTTTAGCCAATACAACATTAACTTGAACAAAAAAATATATACAAATATATATATATATTAAACATCCTCATCATGAATCTAAGCGTTCAGAATAGCATGAAGATGGATTTATATGGTTTCCCTTCACGATCAAGCTTGTGTCCTACTCTTTTGTGCACAATATTTTCTCATTCTAAATTTAAAATAAAAAACTTTTTTTGTTTCATAGAAAAATATTAACCAATTATGGCCAAACAACCAACCCATAATTAGAATAGTGAAGTATAAACCGTCATTACGCACCCTATTACTATAAAATAAACCAATTAAAAATCAACAGTGTGGCACAATAAGATGTTAATAAAGTTAGTTTGTTTTTCGTTATTGAGACAATTCATTTACACCTAAATTAATTGAGCTTGAAAATATACCATCAAATAATTTAAAGAAAATAACCGCATATGAATATACATCCTTGCAGCTATTTTTTAAAAGTTGTGTAATGAAAATTTAACCATCATTTTTTAAAGAACAATTATTTAAAAAATATGACAGATATGTTGAATGAAATGAAGTTTATATCAATTCATTTTTATGAAGAAACAATGAAAGTTTGCAATCTGCAAAAACAGTTTATGATAAATGCCTATACAAATTAGATATTGGGCAAACTGTTGGATCAAAGATGAGTGCTTGCCAAAATC